CGTTTTGGAGCACCCTCTGGAGCAGCCAAAACAGAGTTGTGGAACAGCAAATCTGGCTTTTGGAGCAGATATCCGTAGAGAAAAATATATATTCATTTCAAGTAGTGGACAAACGAAGGACACATTGCTCGCCGCAATCAACCAATTATTGTTAACATAGACCACCTGGGAGTCTTTCAACATGTAACTGAAATGCCAATGACATGACACATTTTGTAATGCTTCAGTTTGTGGCGATAGCCATTGAAAAAAGAAGATCGCGTGGAATAAAAGTGCCACATCAGCTCGATTTTGGAATTTGTCAGACGTAGCCGCTTTTCGTCTGTCTTTTTCTACATTTGGTGACCCGGACGTGATACAAATATATCGGACCACATGTTTAAATTTATTTGAAAATGACCAGCTTAGTAGTAGATATCACATTATTAGGTTTATTAGTAATACAATAAATGGAAGCAATCTCCGACTGATGAAGCACGTAACTACTGCCTTGTAATGCAAAATTGTCGCGCGAGCGGAGATGGCTGTTCGATCGAAACCATGCCACTCCGCTCCGCCTCAACTAATTCCCAAAATTGTATGCAAAATGTAACTGTCCAACATACGAGAAAAAAAAAAAAAAAGTCCAGCGGCACGTTCTTGCCAAGGCGGCAAACGAGGTACAAGCTAAACACAGAAAGAAAGAAAGAAAAAAAAAAAAAAGAAAGAGGAAAAAAAAAAAAAAAAAAAAAAAAAACCTGAGCGCATCGATGCAAGACATCGCGAGCCAGGATCAAAAAGTTCTTGGATCGGTTTGTGCAACGACTGAACTCGAGACAAATAAGCACGCTGTGCGGGTTCAGCATGCGGACATTGCGTTCTTTGCTTTAGCTCACTTCTCTTCACCAACTTCCTTTCGCGGCTCATTTTTCACGTACCCGGGTACGTCTCGAAAGAAAGCCTACCGAGATTAACCTAGGTAATCAATACTTCGACACTGCAGTCTTTGAGCTTAAGGTATGTTTGTAGTAGCGCATTAAACAAGAACAGGATTGTCCTTACGTTTCAGTTCAGAAAGTGCCATTACTGCAGTGACGTGGGGACGGCAACACCCGATGTCGTGCGACCACAGTGACTGGAAGGCAGGGACCAAATATGGTTGGCCACGGCCGTTGCTTTTAGGAGCGAGTGCTTCAGCCCATAAAATCACTCCCGCCGCGCAAAAACATGGTTTCGTTTCACAGCATGACGGCATGGCTGGTAACCAGCACGCTAGCGTCGTAGCGTCCGCACATGCCCATGTCTATGATTAAATTTTTTTTAAAAGACGCGAGACTAGAGACGGCAGGAAAAACCATGCAAGACCAGATGAACGATTGATGCAGGGTACTGTGTCGGACGGCTGCTTGAACCACCTAGCTCATGTGTGCTCAATTACGGTACCCGGTTTAGTTTCGGTTTTCAAAGGCGACCAATATTCGTCCTTTGGCGCAGGCTACCGTAGCAGGACGTAGCGGGGTTAGCCCCTTGGCGCAGTTTGGGGCAGCAATCACATCAGTGCTATAGAGAGTGGCTCCAGAGAAAGCCGCGTGAAGGGAACGGTGCGAAAACGAAACTTGCCGAAATAGCGGGAAAGAACGGAAGGAAAGGCGGCATCCCGATTTCTTTCCCACCAGCATGTTCATTCGCCCGCTCCGCCAAGGCTGCCAATTTTCGGTGGCTCTGCTCTGAGGAAAAAGCTGACTTTCTCTCTCCCCGGCGCTTCTTCCACGGCGAGATTTTGTGGCGGGTGGAAGATAACGCGGAACGCAGCGTGCGTCAAATTGACAGGAGCAGGCAGAGACCGAAATCAACGCGTCCTGGGTCATATATACCTTTGGATGCGTACGACGTCGCTCGGATGTGATGCTCTGCAGTGGCTGTTTCGTTAGTCAGGACGGGAAACCGAAGCAAGTGTCCACACGGCCACACCACGTGAGTGGGGACAACGTGGTCAGGACGGGGAACCGAAGCAGGTGCCCACGCGGCCACTCCACATGAGCGCAGCCAACGTAAAGTGAAGCCGTGACAGCCCTCCACGCGCTGCGAGCAGTGCCAGCAAATGCTGGACCAGCGTTACCAGATGGAAAAAAAAATCGAAGTCAGTAGATGGGCCCCATACATATCAGTAGATCACCAAACAACCAGTAGATACTAAAAAGAAAGTAAAAAAAAGACCTTTGTGTATTTCTCATTGGTCTTAATACATAACATAACATCATAAATAATATACTAAGAAACACACGTAGAAATTAGTTGCGTTTTTTGCTTGCAGCATTTTTTTTTTTAATTCCAATTTCCAGCGGCCAGGTGTAAAACACATTTTTTTCCAGAAAGCAAAATGATTACCCTTAGTACTTTCCAACGATGTAGGTACATTCCCATGCTGTATTCAACGAGCTTGTATATACTTTTTTTCTTTTTGGAGGGGGCCGGAGGTGTAAAATGGCCGCTATCTGAAGAGTTGCCGCTTCTCATAGTACGTGGACGACACTGATCTCTATGACAATTGTGGACGAAACCAAGCAAAGCCAAAGACGTATCCGTTCCGAAAGTACGCGCGTACGCGCCTGCGTTGGCCATTGAGATCAGTGGCGTTGGCTAGAGCACTATATAGCTCCTACGGAGCAGAGTAGCGCAATCCTTTGAACTCCGTGTTTTGCCGACAACATGGCCGACAGAGCGGCTCGGCGCGAGTCACGTGGTACTCAGGGTTCCAGGAGGCGGCCCGCCCTATGGGAGAATACATGGAGATCGACACAACACGGCTGATTAAAAAATGAACGGCGAGTTCACACTTTTCAAAACTAGTCTGTCGTGAAGTTAGTAAAGCACTAAACACTTTAACAAAGTTTTAACAATATCGGATACGTGTGCAAATTTTGAGAAGGCAATTTCCAAGGCAATGGCGTTTGAAGCAGACGATTTTTGCTCGCAGCGGAGATGGGCTTTTCGGGTTGGCCGGAGCGGGTCACGTGAATGGTGTGACGTCGCCGTGTCGTCTGCTGCATGATGCCGCTCAGGCAATTTTTTAAAAAAAGTCAGGTCCTTGCGGGGCACAAAACTTAGCGCAAATGATTCTAAAGTGTTCCATTATTATGTCAAAAATGATTGCGATGCCGTACGTTCCCACAACACTGAAGAAACAACGATTTTCTCACGTTCTCCATGCATTTCTGACCGCAGTTGGAACCTCCTGGCGTTCGCCGCTAGTCGCCGAGAGGCGGCGTTCTAGATTGCGCTACTCTGCTCCGAAGGAGCTATATAGTGCTCTAGCGTTGGCTGCATACGGCTTTGGGTAGATGAATCGAAGGATACGTAGATGCATATGTATAGTTTCGTTCCTAATAATTTCACATGCGTTTGATGGCTAACATGAGAACAGCCCTTCAAAATTGTGCATTGCTGTGCCCTTGAAATGTTTTTTCATTCTGTTGAAAAGAGGTCTCCGACACTCCACTCAACTTTGGCGGGGTGGCGGAGAGCAATATAGAGATCAATGGCGGAGTGTGGCAAAGCCGGCAAAGCAGCTCGACCATGAGCTCGGCGCTCTATGCGGTGCAAGGTGCCGCCATTACTTTCTGGACGTTGCCTGTTTACGCCGTTTACGTATCCTCAATTTTGAGAGCTGTCGAGTAGTAAACTTGTTAGTGAGCGCGTTGGTAATGATATAGGTTTCAGAAAGAGTTATATACGTAAAGACAGGGGACGGGACAACATATCTTTCAACTTTCAACAAACAAATGATTTATTGCCGGACGCTTCTCCTTCGGAGCTCCACTACAGGAGAGGGAAAGTTAAAAGGAGGGAGAAGGGAAAGAGGGGGCAAGACAAGGCCCCGGGAGGAAACTGCGGGAAAGTAAAGCGCAGAGACAGCGGGAAGGAGAGGAAGGAAGGAGGCATCCCAATTTCCCTCTCAGGAGCAGGGACCACTCGCCCGGCCCGTCAAGGACGTCAACTCCGGTCTAAGGAATGTCACCTCCCTCGACAGCCCGCTGTGTTCGCCCCCGCAACGGTCTCCCTGTGTTCTTACACCTCCCCTCATCGCCCTCCCCTCTTTCCCCATCGCCTCCCCAAGTCGAGCTCTGAGCGGCTAGCCGCCCCAGTAAATCTGTAGCTGCAAGTCGAAAGCTGTGTCGTCTGTTTCGTCCTCTTGTGTGTTTCTTTCGTTTTAAGTCAATGGAAATGTTCTTCGGCGCCTCTTTTATGGCGTACGCCTCCACGATCTCGCGCCCGTAGCGGTTCTTGATGGCCCCCAAAACACGCGCGGACGGGAACTCGGGGGCACATGGAGCGCAAACCTTGAGGTGATGGACCATGGGGTGTTGGGACTTGGGAGTCCTCGTCGTTTTTTTTTTCTATTTCTCTCCTATGTTCGCGCAGGTGGCAGTTGAGGCCGCGCCAAGAGGCACGCGGCCCCTTTCGTTCCCTGCGCGGTCGGACGGGTGTATTCCGTGCCCTTCTCGTGCGGGGCAGAGTACATCGTACAGACGGGCCGCTGCCTCAACGACCGCCTGCGCGAACATGAGAGAGAAATAGAAAAAAACGAGGGGGACTCCCAACACCCCATGGTCCATCACCTCAAGGTTTGCGCTCCATGTGCCCCCGAGTTCCCGTCCGCGCGTGTTCTGGGGGCCAACAAGAACCGCTACGGGCGCGAGATCGTGGAGGCGTACCCCATAAAAGAGGCGCCGAAGAACATTTCCTCGGCCTCGCTGTCGCTGTCGGAGAGAGAGGTGACATTCCTTAGACCGGAGTTGCCGTCCTTGGCGGGCCGGGCGAGTGGTCCCTACTCCTGAGAGGGAAATCGGGATGCCTCCTTCCTCCCCCTCCTTCCCGCTGTCTCTGCGCTTTACTTTCCCCGAGTTTTCTCCCGGGGCCTTGTCTTGTCCGCCCCCTTCCCCTTCCCCCTCCTTTTAACTTTCCCTCTCCTGTAGTGGAACTCCGAAGGAGAAGCGTCCGGCAATAAATCATTTGTTTGTTGAAAATTGAAAGATGGTGTTCTCCCGTCCCCTGTCTTTACGAATAGTAAAGTGTTTTTGTTTAAATTCTTAGTTTTGGCGCGGTTTGTTCCTCAAGTATTTTCCGGAATATATTGTGTGCTTAAGCTACACTAGGTGGCGCAAGCTGCCACATATACACCATTAACCATCGGTTCAGCCATCTATCCACCCACAGCCTTCACCCACTTATCGTTCCTTTGTTCTGTTTGGCGCGTTACTTGCGGTGGTGACGAATGACGGTTGGCGAGTTTACCGAGTTGACGAGCCAAACGAATGTCAGTATTTTCGCGCCTAGCTGCTCGCGTGGCTTTAGCAGCGTTCGACAATGCCGCCCGTGCGGTGTCTGGTCACCGTGCCTCACCTAAAGGCTGCCAGGTCTTTCAAGCTCGAGGATGGATCGGTAAACTCTTTGAAACATGCGGTGGCTACGTGCCCCGTTCTTGGGAACTCCATCAAACTGTCTTCTGTCAGGTTTCAGGCAAGTGCCTCGTTTCTGTTGACATTTTCCCCGTGCTCGAACTGTAGCAGGTCACAGTAAGCTAAGTAAACGAAGGATAGAGAAGACACCGAACTGCGAAGCTGTGAACCACCTAATCCAGAAAAAAATATTGAAGTGATAAGATTTTAACCGCCTAAACCACCGTCATCTTCGAATCTATCTTGGAAAGGGTACATGTTATATGAGGAAATGACGTTTTAGCGCGAAGAGTAAAGTATAGACCGCATGAAAGCGATTTGGCGAGTGACGAGGCAAGCGTCGGTGAACCCGCTTCGCTGTCGCTCGGTCACTCGCGCGACGAGGCAATCCGCATGAAAGCAACGGGAGCAAGCGACATTGTAATCCAAAAGGAAGTGTCTAGAGTTCCGTCCAGGCGGAACGATGGTCGCCACTAAAGTAACGTCCAAGTTGGGTCTCGTATAAAGCAAATGTTGAAGGCTAGTTTCTGAAGGAGTAAAGCTATACGCACTCCGGAGTGCGCTTCGGACGGAAATGGCTACACGCACTCTGCGGAGAGCTCATGCCGCTCGGGTCACCCTTTTCGAATGGCACGTGTATCGCTGGGGAGCCCGCCTGCGTTCCCCCCGCTTCGCGGCGACAGTGTGAGGCTGCTAATTACAAAACGTAACCAGTACACGCCGCTTCGCGGCGTCCAGCCGGCAACCCAAGCCCCGCTGTCCCCGATCGCATCAGGAAAGGGAGTCCCGTACCATTTAGTTTTGCGAAGTTTCGTCGGCAACGAATCTTTTAGTGTTCACCGGGGGGAAAAAAAAAAAAAAAAGTAAATATTGCCAAATGCTTCGACAAAACAAAATGTTTGAGAAAACGAAACAAAAAGAAAGTGGGACCACCGCGGATCGAACCCACGTCCACTAGCGTACGAAGCTGACACCTTAACCACTACGCTATGCCACCGCTTAAAAGAATGAGTTGCTGTGACTATTCCTTTTATATGAGACTAGCGGAGTGCGTATAGCCATTTCCGTTTGAAGTGCACTCCGGAGTCCGTAGGCTTTATCCTTTCTGAAGTGGTAGTGTAGTGTAGTGGAAAGGTGTCTGCCTTACACGCAGCGGGCCCGGGTTCGAACCGCAGTGTGGGTTTACTTCTTTTTTTTTCTTCTCGATTTTTTTTTTGTCGGTATTTACATTTCTCTTTTACAATTATCTCTGAAAGACATGAAGGCATGTTGTCGACGAAACTTCGCTGAACTAAATGGCCGGAGGTGCAATAGGGCATAGCGGGTTTGGGTTGCTGGCTGGGCGGCGTGTACGGAGGGCTAAGTGGGTTAATAGGGAGTTTTCATAGACCGTTTTCGCCGTCCCGCAATGCCCTACGCAGCTTGCTATGATGTCGGAACTCTACAGTCAAGGGCATGGGCGCACAGGCGCAGTAGCGGCTTCTTCGTTGCAGAGGGCTTAGCGGTGAACGAAACATGGTCTACGAAAACTCCCTCTTAGTTTTGTAATTAGCAGCCGCATACTGTCGCCGCGAAGCGGCGTGAATGCAGGGGAGGGGGGGTGGGTGTTAACGAGCCCCCCAATGATACACGCGCCGTCGGAAAAGGGTGACCCAAATGGCACGAGCTCTAGCTCCGCGTTCCAGACGGAACTCTAGTAGCAGCTATCGTTCCGTCTGGAACGCTAGCCACACCGTACGTCCAAATCGCCGCCTTCCCTAGGTTCACAGGGGCGAGAGAGGAGGGTGGGGGAGAAGGTTAGGCATATCCATTTCAGTGCTCTGTCTGGACGTAACGCTAGCCACAGCGTTGGACGTAACGCTAGACACCTCTTTTTTTTTTACTTTTTTTTTGTAGGGCATTTGACAATATTTACAGTAAGCTCTCCACGTCGTGCGTATGGCCATTTCCGGTCAACGTGCACGAGCTCGTGCCTATAGCCTTTACTCTTCATTGAATAGGACTGATTTGAGCCAGCACATATGAGAACTGAAAAGAAGCTAAGTGCCTCTGGAGCTGATTTACTAACTATATAAAAATATTTTTGGGTTAGATATATGTGAAGCTAGTCCATGCGCATACATTTTACAGATGCTGGATTTGGTATTTGAAGAATACACTGACCTTGCTGCGGACGACGAAATACATGACATGGCTAAAATCACTCTCCTGCCCATTGTAACTGTCCCAGAGGGTGGGCCAGGCTCATCTTCCACTCAGGTATTTGGTTTTGCAACAAGTTCAAGGTATATCAAGCATTAATGAAAAAAAAAAAAAAAGAAACGGTTTATTACTAGGAATATAATCACAACTGTGATAGGCTGTGTCTATACGAGCGTTTTTTTAATTTTTTATTCTTTAAAAATTTTTTAATGGTGATAGCTATGTTAATGCCGCCTTCACTGTATGTTTGTGGAGCTTGGTGCCTGATTATGATTGGTAGAAAAGCGTCCTGTCACTTCTGTACGTCCGTCACTATCCAGCAAGTGTGACGCCGGCGCCTCCAGCAGACACGCTGTCTGTCGAGATAGTGGCGAAGGGCATGAAACACGGGCGTCACTTTTTTTTTTGCATCATAATCAGGTGCACCTTTCAGCGTGTGGTTTTGAGTTAACCCTTTAGACGCCGAGGACGAGTCTGACTCGTCCACGGAGTTCGTCCCGCAAATGCCAAGGATGAGTGTGGCTCATCCGCTCGTTTCAGCCCGTGTCTGTAGTGCCAGCGACGAGGCACGCTCGTCCAGTCTATTTTTGTGTTGAGAATAGTTCTCCCGCTAGCCAGCAGGAGAAAAAGCGAACCAGAATTTCGCTAATTTTTGCATCATTTTGAGAATTTATCATGCTCCTCCGGCAACATGGGTTTTTAAAAATGGCGTCTCTTTCGAGTGGTGACATGCATCGCTCGTCTAGTCGGAAGCGCGTTTCTTTAGTTGATGATGAGTTTTCTACAGGGTGAAACAAGGAGACGGCACGCTCTTTAAATCGACCGGAAAATTCGGTTTCTTAACCTATCGCGCTACGGCTTTGTGCAGCGTTGCCCACAGATGGTGCATTTTTTTTGTAAAATTTGCAAAGAGCGAACTTACCCGAGGAAAAAGTAAAGAAAGAAAAAGGCTTAGCTCCTATGGAAACACAGCGAAGCCACCGGTCTTCAAACAACACGGCGCCGGTTAGCACGGGACACAAGAGGTGGCGCAAGCGGTCGCGACGCCAACTGCCTCCAACGAACGAGCAGACGACGCCGAGACTCGAGAGCCGGCGTATTTAGCAGACAAGGAACTGCAGTTCTTCGTTGTTACTGCGCCTGTTTTTTGTTTCTGCGACTGTCGCCGCCTGCGGAACGCGCGTCGCTTTTGAGTCGAAAAGATTGTCTGCTAATGACGCTGGCTCTCGACGCCGTATGCTCGTTCGTTGACGGCGTTCGTTGCGCCATCTCTTGTGTCCCGTGCTAACCGGCGCCGTGTTGTTTGAAGACCGGTGGCTTCGCTGCGTTTCCATAGGAGCTAAGCCTTTTTCTTTCTTTACTTTTTCCTCAGGTAAGTTCGCTCTTTGCAAATTTTACAAAAAAAATGCACCATCTGTGGGCAACGTTGCACAAAGTCGTAGCGCGATAGGTTAAGAAACCGAATTTTCCGGTCGATTTAAAGAGCCTGCCGTCTCCTTGTTTCACCCTGTAGTTTGGATGATGATGACTTTGCGCTAGACGATAGTGACGGAAGCGGGGAGTCCGCGGAAGAGTTTGAAAGCTCAAGTGACTCGGACCTTAGCGGCGATGAGGTCCATGCTTCGGCGCGAGACTGGAAAAGTGTGGACACGACAAATCCTCCATGAGCCCCTCCCCGCTTTCCCTTTATTGCCACGCCGGGCGTCACGACACCCGTCGACACGTCGCTCGTCGAACACGACACCCTCAATGCTGTTGGGTACTTGTAACTCTTGCTAAGCCAGACGTAATGACTCTGGTCGTCAATGAGGCAAAGAGGTACCTATGCCGATCAACACTTGGCGACCGCGCTGATCTCAAGGGGATCCCAAATGAAGGCGTGGTAACCGGTGACGGAAGCAGAAATGAGTCTTCTTCACCCTGCTGCTTCTACAGGAAATAGTAGACAAGCCAGTTGTCGAGTGGTATTGGTCAAAGCGCACAGTGATTGAAATCCTAGTGTTTGGGGAGGTGATGAGTAAGAGCAGATTTATTTTGCTCACGAAGTTTTTCCACTTTGCGAATAATGGAGATGATGCTGGTAAAGTGGGGCAAGCTCGTCAAAAACTTCTCAAGATCTGGCCGGTGTTGTTGCTCATGAAGGACCGCTTCAAAGCAAGCGGTCTCGGTTCCCATTTTTAATTTTTTTGCCTCACATGGCCTAAGATTGGATCAATTTTGGTTTTCAGTTGTTAAGCTTTTATACCCATGTCTTACATGCTTGAAATAAGGAAGAATTCTTCTATCAAAGTGTGCTATAAAAAAAATTTGAATTTTGGGTACATTTTTTCGAAAACTGGCTGGCGCTTAAAGGGTTAAGCAAAAAAAGGAAAAATTAACAGATGAATATCTCAAAGCCTGTTGCTTTTTCGGGAACCGTGTCAATTGGGTTGGCTTTTATTAATGGCCACCTTTAAAACTACAATAGACCCTTTCCGGAATTCAGTCTGGCCACTTTGATCACTATCATCATCATCTGAAAACGCCATATGTGCTACACTAATGGCGGACTTCTGTTTACTGATGAAGGAAGTTGAAGATGCTCCTGAGCATCTTCATCTTCAGACCCTCAGGGCTAGGGTGACCAGACGTCCCGTTTTGGCCGGGACAGTCCCGTTTTTCAGGTCCATTTCTGCCGTCCCGTCTTTTTATCCCAATATAGAATCATGTCCCGTTTTCGCAGAAGTACATAGTTTCAAAATTGGCACCAAGCGAGTAGAAGCAAACTGCAACTATGCCTATTCGTTGCAAGTATATTTTACAAAACTAACCGTAGGTACTTTACAATATTTACCCAGAGAGTAAAATTTAGGACTGTTCTTGCCCACAAACACTTTTTCTTTCGCGAGGACGGTAGAAATATTTTTTTTTAGTTACTGGATATAGCACGGATGTAGAATCATGTAGGAATAGCACGCATGTAGAATTTAATTACATTTTTTCTCAAACTTTAGTACCCCCCCCCCCCCCCCCCCCCCTTTACCGCTGGGATGTCCCGTTTTCTACCTTGAGGAATATGGTCACCCTACTCAGGGCCTGAGGACATTGCAGAGGGGAGTGTGTTACAAGGAGACATCAAAAGCAAACAAACAACAATCAAAAGCAAACAAACGACAATCTTAAGAATGAAAAAAATACATAATAATGAAATGCTAAAAGTTAACACTGTTAAGGCATCGTTTAGAAGCGATGGAATCGGATATGGATGCCACAGATGCTGGAAGGTGATTCCATAAGACCGTCGTCTGAGGTATAAATAAATTATAAAAAGTTGTAGTGTTACATTGAGGAATGCCCATCTGTGGATGGTCAAGAAATTATGATATGTAAAGAGGTGTCAGTAACTTGTCACATAGCAGAGGATTATAGTAATAAATTTTGTGGAACAGACACACTGTTAAGATTTCCACGTAATGCAAGGTTAGGTAGGTTCAAACTTATTTTCATTGATGTTACACTGGCAGTGCAGTGATAATTAGCAAGGATGAAACAAACAGATCTGTTCTGAATTGCTTCAAAAGCCAATATCAACACGTTAATGCCAGGGTTCCCAATTCAAGAGGCATATTCCAGCTTAGAGCGCACGAGCGTTTTGTAAAGAAGCACCTTGAGAGATAAGGGAACTGATGAGAAGTTCAGTGTGATTGTTCGCCTGCACTCAAGCACGTAGACCAAAGTATAGGGTGGTCCAAGTCACCAGGATCGATATAAAATGGATCATAGAAATCGACACCTGCACGTAGCAATCTAGACTTTTTGTCAGAGGTGTATTTCACATGTCGCTTTCCTTTTGTAAAATTAGAAAGCGTAGCTCTCTTTCTGTAAAAAATAAGGCCAAGAAACTTGCCAGGGTCTACGGCGGACAGTGACGCAGACGACAGGGGTCTAGTAGCAAGGTGTGTTTGGCGTTCGTATAGATTGATGGGCTACCTCCTTACTGCGACGGCTTGCGACCAAGGTTTTATAAAATGAAGATAATCTTTTTCAAATGTACCTTCGGTTAAAAAATAAATGCGGGCAATAAAAGCAGAACTTAAAGTAAAAAAAAATGTGTCTGCATAACGACAGCGCTTTTGCTGCCAACGTGTCGTCTGCTAGCTTTAGCTGGTCGGCTGCACCGTCGGACGCTGCTCCCGATGCCATCTATGAATACGATCGCCAAACACGCCCTGCTACTGGGCTTGGTCGTCTGGGTCGTTGCCTGCCGTTAACCCTGGCAATTTTCTTGGTCCTATTTTTTGTAATTTTACAAAAAAAAATTGACCCGTGAAATAGATCTTTGACGAAAGGTTTAGATTGCTACGTGCAGGCGCCTGTTTTTATGGTCCATTTTAGATCGATCCTGGTGACTTGGACCACCCTATATATAGAGTATTGTATCGGGCACATAGGGTTTTGTCGAGGGGGGGGACCGCCCATGTCAAAATGGCATAGATGGGGGAGGGGGAGCGGGCAGGGAGAGGAGGTCCCAGCAAAACTGAGGATTTGGGGCTATGTGCTCGTATTGTATATGCAAGTACAGTTGCTGGTGGTGTGAGCTGGAATATGCAAGCGGTGACCGGGCTGCGCAGACCACATAGCCGCAGCAAGTGACTGGCCACAGCCTGGTCGTCACTCATGCTTTCCTGCTTATATCGCTTGCTAATGTATGTATCGAGGTCCTCGTTAGATAAACTTTGTTTCGTGTTAGTACTGGATACCAGAGCAGTTTGAGTGTTGCATTAGAAGGAGGGGGCCAGTCAGGGCCATGTCTTTTTCAAAGTGATATGGCTTGCATGCTCTACTGGACGGTGTTGCACTGTACTCCGCATATTATTCTTAGCATTGAACAGCATCTCTGTTTGACACTATGTGAAATTGCATGCTGTGCATGTTTGCATCTACCGAAGAGCTTAAGCTTCAAATTCGGGCTCAGATTATGAGCCACGAACCAAGAATACGGTGCCGAATTTCTGTATTATTGAAGACGAGCGTATTGGTGAAGGTTCATATCCACACACGAAAGGATAAGAAACGGAAGGTGGACAGGGCCGAAATAGGACCTCTGGAAAGATATCTTGGTTTGTTCTTGTCCACTGCGTTTTTTATTCTTTCATGTGTGCATATGAAAATTTTGTACATTACGATTTATACTGAATTCCTGAAACGGCGAGCATCTAGCGGCATTTATTAGTAATAAATACACCAAACCTTACTTATAGCATGTAAAGTACAAACCGTTATATCATTAAAACAGCCTGCTGGGGTCCTTAACACAAATCCAGTAACTTTACACTGCAGGGATTTCCTTTCGTTTTAGGAGGAGGCTTCATTGGAGACGGTGCGCACTGAAAACTGTGAAACCGCCCAAAGAGAGAGCTTGCCAGATGAAACTTCTCCAGATGACTCCTCTCCAGATGTACCATTGGTAGGCATCGAGCCCTTTGAGCTGTAAGTGTGTTTTAATGGTTGCGACTATAGAGGCTATGTTGTGATACAAGGCAGCCTCGAAATGCTTCTATTCCGCTGTCACTATAGAACGGCGGACAAAGTGGCATCAATGGAAACGCTCATACCAGCTGCACTAGCGTCTCACCGGGTGCCTACCGTACATGTGCGCTTTGCTTAGGGTGGTGACATCTAGCCATTTTGGTTCGCGTCTTTTTATTTATTGTTTGCTTGGATCACATGTCGGCTAGTAGCTTTACCTGCGCGGTGCCGTTTTGTTTCATCTACTTCTTTGACGCATCTCACGTACATGGACCATTGTGTTCTGCTGCGTTCCCTGGGCAATGGAGGAACCAGGCACGTATCCAGGGGGGCCCATGGGGCCCGGCCCCCTCCCCCCCCCCCCCCCCCCCCAATATCTTCCATTTTGCTGGGGCCTCCTCTCCCTCCTCCCCCTCATACAACATTTGGCCTCTGCCCCCCCCCCTCCCTCCCTCCCTCCCTCTTCCGAAACAAGACCCTGGCTAAGTGCCTGGGAGGAACACGGGCGCTTCACAAGACTGATACACGCATGTGTCCTCACCACATGCAGTTTATTCAGGGAACACAGAGCTGATAGCTCAGGTGGTAAAGCACTTGGCTCACACACAGTAGGCCCATAGTTCGATCCCTGGCAGCGGCAAAGTGTAACAAATGTTTTAGAGCATTCATCAATATCGACGACGGTTTCTCTACACCATCATTTCAAAGGGGGGTGAAGAGCCCATAACAGCTATCGCTTTAAAATGAGGTTGAGAAAAAGCATGTGAGACGCCTATAACATATTTATTGTATTTCTGTTTTTTTTTTTTTTTATATGCTTCTACATAGCAACATTTTTTTTCTTTTTTTTTTTTAATAATCATTTTCTTATAAAATAATTGCACTATTTTTAGGCCTTCGTGTTCAGACGACGATGGGAACACCTTCATTTTCCCCAAGCTTGGAGCTCTCCATGATACGATCATCTCTGGCAAACCTCTGACATCTTCATCATTCCGAAAGATTGTGGAGCTCCTCTTTCGTGCAATGGTGAACATAACAGTGTAAGTAAGGTGGTCTCAAAATTCGGACTTATTCCTAGCTTCATCATTTCCAGTTCCTTTCATGGGTGACTTCTTTGTGGGCACCGGTCAACCTTTGTCTTGCTGTATCTTTCTGTATCCAGCTAAACCTATGTCTTAAATCACAGTATCGAAGCAGGTGAAACTGATTTTTGCAATATATTTGAAGTGGGTTTAATCCCTCTAACCCTCCTTGTATACAAAAAAAAAAAAAGTAATTCGGAAAAAAAGCTAGGTTGCTTCTTTCTGGTCCTTATCTTGCCAAATTTTGTGCAGTGGTAAACATAGTAGATTGATGGCTTATTTGCGTTGTTTCACAAGTGCATCTTTGTGCTGAATTTTAGGCTTCTTGGTCGAGACCGCTGCGCCAAAAATGAAATTAGTCAGTTCAGGCTAGAGAAATGTTTGGTTAGTTAGGTCACTTCTTGTCATTTGCTAGAAGCAATCCATGCCCTCGCTGTATTTACAGGTGTATGTGTTGCTGGTGTGTAAAATTAATGGAAGCTTTAAGTAACTTGCTCGTTTTCCTTCAATAGGACAACATGTCTCTTTGTCGAAATTCATATTACAAGAATTTGCTAAGCGGAAAATGTGTAGATATTCCTTTTTTTTTTTAAATATCTGAAAATTTGGTGCGACTAGTTATAATCGATTGGGGGTCATTGGCATGTTTAAAACATTGATGCACTGTGTACCATCTGAACAATACCTTGCATCTTCCTCGCGTAGGCTCAGTCTGCATACGGGACCTATTGATTCACAATGTGGGTTATAATATTAGAGATTGTTGAGCCATAAGAATGGGCACGACTTTTCTGCAGGTTCCCATCTCAGCACTTTTACTCCAAGGTCACTCAGCTACTAACTGACAAGTACCCTCAGCTCCAAGATGTTATAGGAACTGGATCAGTAAGCACATTTCTTTTGCACGTTTATAATAATAGCTGCGATCAATTCTTAGCATTGGTGCTTCTATACATCTTTCCAAAAAACGCTCCTAGGCCGCCGCCATGTTGCTGATGCTGATGCAGCTGGCCCTCTATCAGCTAGAAATTTTCTGCCACCCTCTTGGACTGTGAACACCCGCTCAGTGCGGTTCTCTACCTGTTTTGGCGGTTTTGCATTCAACGTTTTCTCGCCCCTCTTGAAAGTTCCCACTTAATTTTTTTTATGAGTGCTGCATACCCTTTCTGTGTTATCTTCCATTGTGATATATAAGACTGGTAAGTGCCTGCCATTCAAGCTTTTCTGCTCGACATTCATGGGAAACGAAGGAAGTGATGGACGTCGAACTGCCCTCAACGCGATTTTGCAAACATTCTTCTCCCCCCTCCCAGAGATAATCCGCATAGAATCCTCGGTCATCTCCAAAAATAGTTGTCTGGGTTGGGGTGGGAAACGGGTCAGTCGCGTTTGTTCCTTTACCTTGGTGCTTTAGTGAAAAAGAAAGCTCTCCCCAGCTCAAAGGTGAAAAGAGTATAGCTGGACGCCATAATTTCATTCCTTGGCGCAGGAACGATTCCCTTGGTAGGCTCCCAATAACTGTTATCGCAGCAAAAATGCTATGGCTGGACCTAAATTTAAATTTAGATAGTTGTTCAAGCTGTGGTATTTCTTTATTTTACAGGACTCGTGGAGAGTAGCACTGCGGTACAAGTTCAAAAATGAAAGACGTCGCCTTTCAGACGACGTCCGGGTTGCTGAAAACCGTGCAAAATTTGGATCAAAAAGACCAAATGATGGAGGTGCAGCCACACAGCTGAAGCGGCAAAAAAAGATTAAGCTGGTGAGGGGCAATGTTTAAACTTTCCGGGATAAACTTGGAAGATCAAAAATTGCTGATGTGGTTCGGATGCGGATATCGTGTCTGCATAGTGGATGATCAAATTGTTATCTACGCATGGTTTTCTTTCTACTCATCAGTGTCTGCCTTAGAAATCAACGAAACGCTTCCATCAATCAGATAACGCGAATCGGGAAAACTACAGTGGTTTATCCCGTCTCCGCGAGTAGGTGGAAGCATGAAATGCTTTCGAGTGGAAAGGATTCGGAAAGATGATGATGGCAGGGAGCTCGATTCATTCCGATTCGATGGTTGGCACTCACTGGAAGCTCACCTGAGATTGGAGCTCACCTGGAAGCTCTCAAGATCCCAGGCGAGCTTCCATTAAGTGTCAATCAGTGATTTGGAACCAGTGGAGCCTCCTGCAATCGTCCTTCTTCTTGGGTCCTTGTCTCACAATGTCCATAAGATCTGAGAACATGCAGCACTCTAATGAGCAGAAAGAGTACTACCCTTGTCGCACTATGGTTTTCGAGATCACTGGCACGTAAAGCTCCTTGCACATCGCCAAAGAGCTTTGCACATGAGCAATCTTCAAGACTTCGTTAACACTACAATTTCTTCCTGTTGTGCGACGGCCATGTTCAGTAGCATACTTGAAAACCTTAATCTTCAAACCGCATGTTAGCTAATGTATGAAACCATCGTGGAAACCCCACGATCGTGCTGTTGGGGCAACCATAAGCTATAGACATTTGCAGAAAAAGCTCTCTGGCCGCCGCCATTTTGCGAACCAAGCGGCCCCTACCAGCCATAAATTTCTGCCACCTGCCTGAGCTGTGGAAACCCGGTCAGCATGACTCCCCAGCTGCATTGTGCATTCAGAGTTCGCCAACGTTTCTTGGAAATTTTTACTTTATTTGCCTGTTTAGGATGCTTACCCTTTGTGTGCTATCATGCACTGTGAGAACCAGGGAATACCAGGGCTCATAGCCTGCTCGGCCTTCGCAGGAAACAAACGAAGAGAGTGAACGTCAAGCAACTCGCGAGTCGTGACGGAGGCAGTTCGACATTCTTGAAGGATTATTTCCGTTGAGATAATCTCCAGAAAGCCTTCCCGACTTGTGTTCCGAGTCTTCGCGAAAAATAGCTGATAGGGTCGGGTCCGGAGTGTTTGCTTTGAAGCTGTGCAAAAAAGCAGCTCTCTTCTACATGTGCCCAAAACACGCCGGATTCCGTCTGATCGTCGTGAAGTTACTATCGTCGACACTGTTTATTGGATATGCTGTGTTATTTGAGACCTTTCTCAAATCCTGTTCGGATAACGCGGCATTGTGGGGTACGTACAATATATGTTGTTCGATTGATGAGACTCGTTGAATTTCATTTTGTGGGCGAGTAAATCTATGCAGTTTGAATATCCTGTGCGGTCAAATATTTTTGACGGTTAAGATCTTTGTAGATTGACAAGGCGGAGTGTATGGTGCCGTAAAAAGACCAACATAAAATAAAACAAACATCCCAGTTGCATTCGTTCTGTCGCTCACGGACTCACCAAAACAGCTTTCGTTGCTTTGTTTTTGTTCTCAAAAATAGTACAGAGCATTCTTAAAAACCCCGAGAAATTCTATTTGCCATAGAATACAAAAGAAAAATAGAACACGGCAATTTAGCCTCCACCAGCGTCCGAAAGTGTGCCCACGCAGGCTGCCACAGCCCACTGACGAGAAACTCCACAGCTCAGCGCAGTCTGGCAACACTGACTTATCCTCTCAAAACCAGGGATGCCTGCTGTAAATCGCTTCGTTCGAGACTGCCGCTTGAAAGGTCTATAGGCAACTTTCAAAAATCCTGCCATGCAACATTGCATGCGTTGCACGCTCGGAACAGTTGGCTGCGAAGCTGAGTGACATGGTTTCAGTCGAACAGGCGTTGTCTCTGCTTGCGCGACGAAACATGTGCAATCGCAAGTATGCTGAAGTTTCTCTCGCGTAAAACATCAACCAAGGCACCTGCAATTTTTTTGCTTAAAACCTGGCATGCTCGAAACCAATAAAATAGTGGCCAGTGTTTTTTTAATTGCTTGGCGACATTTATGGTATTTTACACTTGTGGGATGTCTCAGTTGTGAAAATGAAGTAGCGAGTTCCATTATGACACAATAATCATGGCAAATATCTGAAGCCGGAACTAAATGGCCCGCTAGTACCCGGAATTCATTTCTTGGCATCTCCTCACCAGGGGCCGCCCCGATTCGGAAAAAAGCTTATTGCAAAATGGCGGAAGGTTCATTTCTTCCCACGACCCCGGCTTGGCTTGGCCACCTGGAGATGGAGGTCGTTCCTTCCCATGATCGTCTAGCTGTTTATCGCTCAAAGTGGCGCATAAAAAAATTTGAACGTTCCCACCTCGTGATACAAAGTTGGGGGTGCATTTATTGAGCAAGGTGCAAGGAAATATGTTATATATTTTTATCTGGACTGTTTCCTTTTTTATATTGTGTGTTTTCTACTGTTTGTGCTCCCGTAGGGTAATGCCTTGGGCAATGTTAGGTCAAATGATTGAATTCAATTTTACCTTATCAGAAATTTTGGCATGCTAAGAGCATCAAGCACTAAAAAGGTAGTCAGTTGTTGTCCTTCTGTTAATGAATATTCATGTCTAAATCGCGCCCTTTCGATCATGCCTCTCAAGAACATCACTGCTTCGGCTTTGGCTGGAGAGGACGAAGCCAGCCTGATCGCCCATGAGGAATGGCTTATACGAGAAGGACGAAAGGCAGCTCCTGATGAAAAAGGAATCCATGAAAGGATGACTCTCACTGCGAGGAAGAGGCTCTCTGACATGGCACAAATGGGCATTGATGCTGTTAGGACAAGGTACCCATACCTGATGGACTCTCAGCGAGTGAGTCATTGCTGCTACTCTTCCGCTTTATTGAATACGAAGGTGTTGTTGACTTTTTTTTTGTACTCTTGTTTGAATACAGAAACTCTTATTGAAGGGACACTGACAGGGTGTTTATGCTCGCCGATGTTTTTAGTTGTACATGGCTTATGAGAACCCAACTGCCCAGAACAGAATTTGAGGCTCAAAATTCAGTTTCTTTCCGCCCGAGGACCGCCACGAGAACTGGCCGGTTCGAGTTGCGCTCTCTCTCTTTGTGATCACGGGCTGTTTTCTAAGGTTTAGACACAACCACCAAATTTAATCAAAGTCGTGGGTCATTGAAGGCACACAGTCAATATTAAAAATAGCAAAAAGATGAAACCCTTTTTTTGTGACTTCTAAAAAGCTGTTAATAAGATTATTGAGGGAAAAAAAAGTTGCACAGAGAACCGGACGCATTCTGTGCATTTCCTCGTTCAATAGCCCTTTTGCGAAATCCCCCAAGCGCCCTGGCCCGCGCGCGAGGAATTGTGGGAGAGACTGTCCCTGGCCTGGCCACTCTGCCTTGAGATCGCATTGCCTCGTCGCTCGTCTCCTCATAATCTTGTTTTTTGATTTCATTACCTATTTTTATATGTTCAAGTGTATATTTATTGGTTCTAAGTGTTTCTATTTTCTTCTGTGCGCAGTATTTTTTGCATATATATAGTTTTTGTCTTTATTATGCCTTTTTCGACGGGAGTGCTGACGAACAACAGGCCGCTTCGCGTATCGTTCTCCGGGTGAGTGTTATCGTTGCTACTGGTTCCTGTCGTGCTGTTAGCTGTTCATTTTGGTTCACTTGACCCGCGTGCAGTCGTGAGGAGCCGTTTATGAACACCCACGCAGATGTCATAGGGGTAGGCAGACTCTAAATCAAGAATTGCGACGCGAGAGCAGAGTGCGCTGTGATTTAGCCGCCCGCGCCTGCTCCGTTGACTCGCAGTGCAGCGTATGCCTTCGGGTGCCGCTTGCTTGACCAAGATACAGCAAGCTGCTTTGTCGCTGCGAACCATTTGTCCGAATGTTTGCAAAGCTGAGGCATATGCAACGCTGTGGCGTTTGACAACTGCGCGCTGCGGTGCGATCCCTTTGCAAATGCCGACGGCTCAATGTCGCGGCTTGAATGTGCCTATGGCATGCCTTCATAATCTTTCTTTTAAGCGGTTGTCATTTGCCAGCGCCCTTTTTCAAGTGCAGAGATAAGTTGCCGCGAATCATTTGTCCGAATGCCTGCAAAGCCGTAGCACCGTTTGTCATATCCAACGCTGCGGTGCCTGACAAACTGCGCTCAGCGGCGCGAGCCCTTCGCAAGCGCCGGGCGGCCCAACATCGCGGCTTGTGTGCGCTTATAGTATGCCTTCTTAAACTACTTGCTAAGCGGTTGTCAGTTAAAAGCACCCCTTTTCAAGTGCAGAGGTGTGCTGTCTCCCAGGCAGTCATCTTGAAACTCGTAGTTCCTTCGATAATTTTATTTCTCTAGTCAAGATGTCAGCTCAAGGTATTTTATTTCTTTAGGTCACCTTCAGCAGTAACATGCCCTCATAGTACAGTTTGCTGTGTGCCAGGCTGTACAAACAGTACTGCCGGCGGACGGCATGTTTCCTGGCACTGCTTCCCAAAAGACAGCGTCCTGCGAAGCGTTTGGGTGAAGACAACTGCGTGCAGTTGTGAGGCGCTGCAAAGTTGGACATGCCGAACAGTGTTACGGTTTCGCAGGCATTCAGACAAATGATTCGTGACAGCAAAGCGGCGGGCTGTATCTTACTCAAGTAAGCGGTATTGAAGGCACATGCTACAGTGCCAGTCAACTAAGCGACGCGAGAGCCGAGTGCGATTGAGCCACCTGCACTCGCTTTGTTGACTCGCACCGCACTCGGCTCTCGCGTCGTGATTGTTGATTCAGAGCTCTGCCTACCCCTATGACATGGGTGCGGGTGTTCATAAACGGCTCCTCTCGACTACACCTGGGTCAAATGAACCAAAAATGAACAGCTAACAGCACGATAGGAATCAGTAGCAATGGTAGTACTCACCCGCGGAACGACACGCGAAGCGGCGTGTGCAGAAGAGAATAGAAACATTTATAAGCAATAAAAAATACAGTGGTGCAGATAAAAATAGGTAATGGAAATGAAAAACCGGATTAAGAGGAGACAGGCGACAAGGCAATGCGATTTCAAGGCAGAGCAGCCAAGCGAGGGAGCCTGTTGAGTGTTAGCAACATCCTAGCTAATGCAGCGACCAACGACTTAGTTGGAAGCTATGGTTCACAGGCCAGGTTTGGAGATCCTATCAACTCTATGCCATACTGCATGAAAAGGACTCGAGGGTCCGAAAGAAAAGAGTAAGAGATTGCATGTGAAGAAGAAGGTTTGATATTTCATCAGCGTGATGTCTGTAGTACCAATTATTTCTCTGCACTCTTGCAAGACTTGCTTGGCAAGTCAATAGACATATTAAGAACTTCAGAAGCAAAGGGAAGTTAAAAAAAATAATGTTACTAAAAAAAGAAACTTGCGTATTGTGTGTTCGTATGTTTGTTCCTAAAGCCCTTCCCACACCTTCAAGTTGTGGTAAATGGGGGATTCGGCCAACTCGCTGAAAGCCGACTCATCGACAGTCAATTCGTAGTATAGGCCAATTTGTTGTAGGACAATTCATCAAAAGGCAACTTGTCGAAAGGCAACCTGGGACTGTCATTTAACCCATTCGAGGCCGATTCCTCGAATGGGTTAAATGACGGTCCCAGGTAAAAGTTCATGGTTCCTTGTTATCTTTTGATCTAAATTTTTATTTGTGTTTGGACTAGGGACAGCGGTCTTTTTAGGTTTTAGGACAGTACCTTGAGACAAGTTTAGAAATGTAAATTTCGGGATTGTCCTTTTGCTAGTTTTCTTTATTACTTTTTGTAATGAGCCGCTGCGGACTGTTGCCGCGAAGCAGCGTGGACGGGTAGGCCAAGCAAACTCACACGTGCCACAGTGATGCACACGCGACGTAGTAACTGTCCCCCACTGCACCGTGAAAGTGGAGAAAGCTGCAAGTTGTTATCTTCGACAAGAAAGAGCGCACTGGATGTTTATTACGATACGGCGATATTACGCATTACTATAGGGCAGGATTTGCTTTAACATTTCAGGACAAAATTATATATTATGGCTTTGAAACAGCGGCGACCAGTTGGCGTCTTCGACTAATTTTTCTTCGACGATTTGCCTTATGACGATTCGGCCTATTCGACAAATGGGCTGCTGACGAGTTTACCGTCGATGAGTTGGCTTTCGGTGAGTTGGCCTAGACTCGGTAAATGGTAGTGCCAGTAAAATCTGAATTTAGGCGTTGTTTCTTGTTTCCCTTATTTAAATTAATGAACAAGTGCCAATTTCTTTGTAAATTTTATTAAAGAAATGCCGTGGCATATTTCCTGAACTTTCAATTTTTATATTTTCTTTTGTGAAGTTCGCTAAAGATTTCGAGAGGCTCACGAAGATGAACCTGGCCAACAAAGTCGCAAAAGGGATTGACAAGATCGTTCTGTTGGCCACAAAGAAGGCGATCGACTGCCAGGAGCATGTCCTACTTACACTGCAAGCAGCACCGCACATGGATCTGGGGAGGCTCAGGACACGGCGTGAGTACAGTAAGAAAACCGCTGCGCAAGGGAGGCTTTTCGACCAAGCGATAAAATACCACCATTCAATGCATGCATGGGAAAAGATAGTAAAAAAACAAACAAAAAACTTTCAGTCTTTCTCTTTTGTTGAGGAAGGAAGACTAGCGGAGCTGCACTATGGTGGGAATGAAGTAATGGCCGATCGCTAGTCGGCAAGCCAGAGTGGAAAGGTTGCGGCCATCTATGATGGTTGCTGCCGTCTCCTATATATGGCGGTAGCTGTCCAGAGTTCTGTGTCATCGGGTTATTTGAGGACTGACACGACCCTGGGGAAACTAGCCGCTAACAGCTCCACTGTAAAAAAAATAACCGAGTTTATGTGTGCAACCACGTTGGCGCATTGCTCGGCTGAGAAGTAAGCGAAACTATAGCTTTCAAAATGCGGCCTTTAGGGTGGGCTGCTTTGTGCTGGCCTCCCCTGTATTGAAAGATGGAACGTGACTGGCACTCTCGCTATCAGCGCGCTCGGAAACAATAGTGCTACGTGCTGCAATTTTGCCGCTCTGGTCGTTGGTCGCTCGTGCTAATCTTTTTCTGCTGCAGCTGTACATGCGCAGCGCCTTGGCAGAGGAGAACCCTCTGCCAAGGTGCAGGCAGCGTGGTGGAGGGCCGTAGAGGACAGACATTTGGGCTGCACACCAGTGTATGGGGAATAACTTTGGGAGTTTGTATCATACTCCCAAGGTTATTTCCCCGTGGTGATTTGAATTGTTTCATACCATTTGGTGACATGTCCAATGGCTTATCTATAATATTATGTTGCACCCATTTAGGTCGTTCTGGTGTGTTGCCTTCTTTTCTTTTAGTGGGGACAGGCTTGGCCAAGTGAACATCTTAGTATTTGTCTGAAGTTCCCTCATTGTCACTGATCCTACTGGAAGATAAGCAGAACAATGCATACATTTTTTTTCTGAAACCGTCCAGGACACGTGCAACGAAGAGTACAAAAATGTATTTGATATCTTGCACAAATGTTGTTGGTGTTTTTCAGACATCCTGACTGTTGCAACTCTGCGCATTTTGGCCCTGAACGTCAAGGAGTCAACATCACTGCCCCTAATGTTCGTGCAAGAAGATGTAAGTTATTTCACTATATTTTTGCGAAAGTTGATGTTAGCAAGAACAAAGTTCCAGCCTACCTTCAATGTAGCAGGGTTAAATAAATGCTAACTAAAGAGGTTTTTTTGTTGTTTTTTGTGGGTAGAGTGTTCGTTTTTTTTTTTGTTTTCACGGTATGTTTTTTCATAGTGCCCGCAGGGGCTAGAATTGGAGCCTTCTGAATACATATTAGTGACCATGTTGATGTCAAAGGAAACAAACATGTGAAATGCACATGAATACAAGTCCTGAAAAACCAATGAAGGCTGGAAGGCGGCAGGCATGCTGATCTTTCTAGGGTTTTCAATACAGAGACAGTGTAGCGTGTTAACTGGCTTCCAACAGTTCAATAGCAGCTTGTTCACCTGGCCCCTTTTGTTAATGGGGTGTCCCAAACATTAGGCCCACCAGGCCCCAAATACTTCTGTAACGCTCAAGAGATAATGGCCACCTAAATTACAGAGATATAAAGTAAAAATTTGAGGCGAACCAAGTTTCGGGTACAATGGCTGAAACGCCAAAAACCTAATAGTCTGGCTTCCAAAACACAGCCATGCTCAACGTGCCTCATGCTGGATTTTCACTGCTCCGGTTGGTGTTCGGACGGGAGAGATATGGCCAGCGACTGCACATAAAATGTAAATGTAGCTCGTGAAAATTAATTTATACAACTACATACGAGACATTGTTATGTTTGCTGTTTTCTGGAACCTTCATCTTTGGGTTTTTTTAGTGTAGAGGAGGAAGCAAAAAAATTAACATTGGCCAACGAACAAATAATAGCATGTACCGTTATGGTCAGTCGGTAGCCCTGTACGGTTCATAAATGCGGGGTGGCGAGGTAAGCAGGGTGCGTCCGTGGCAGACATAGATTGTAGCACCTGAGCTGCCTGCCTTCTGTCGGTGTTTGCCCCCTTTTTTCTCCTTGAAACTTGTCTGCCCTTGGCTATGTTCGCTGATACCGATAAGAACCCATTATTGCACCCAATGAGCGCTGACGACCGATGACACTGCCTGACAAAGCGCGTCTGCGCAAACATTCCTGCTTTTTGTCTTCTCTTCCTTCTGCACGTATTGTTTCTCATCTGTGCATTTGTTGGTGTCCTCTTATCCAAACAATAACCTCAAATGTACACAGGAAGGCTGCTGTCCGCATAAAGAAACCAGGCCACTGTAAAAGTGAGATGTGATAGCAAAGCAAAAAATCACTCTCATGGTGAAAACGAACCAGTGATGCGTCAGATTTTTGGCGTGACTTTTATTTTTTTTATCTCCAGACCTGTACTCATTTCCAACAATAAATAAGTCTAGCAGCGTATCATAATGCATCGGAAAAGTATCTCACTATTGAAATGCAAATAGGTTTCACAAATGCATCTTCATACTGAAATAGAGATACTAAAATATATCTCTAAGCTTATATCGCAATATTTTCATGTCGTGATGTTTCCCCAATTGTAATTCCTCATTCATTTTACATTGTTGCAGATGCCGGTTACTTATTTAAACATAAGCAATGCTCATGGCCTGAACTGGAGTGAATAATAGCAGTTGACAAGAGCAAACATGTTTTGGCCTTCTACATTAAAATATGTTGTGCCTTTTCCTTTTACCTAACGCAGGATGAAAACATCCCACCGACACCGTGTGTCCTGTACAGCGGGCAAGACTTAGAGGATGCAGACTTCTTTCACCTGGTTGTTGATCGTGAGAGGTTGTTCTCCGTTCCAAATGCCGAGGAGGGGCTGTGTATGTTGTTGGCAGCCTATTGGTTGTTCAGTATACAATATGAACGGAAGGCCTTCAACATGCTCGTCACTCTGGAGAGGCTTTTTCTCGGCATGAGCCACACAACTCCAAGGGCAGTGGTAATTAAATTTTTAAACAAAGTTTGCAGGCACGTGCATGGTTGAAGCAATGATTTGTGCTTCAACCACACGCGCATTAACTGCTTCGTTACGGTTCAGTTTGAGCTTTTTCTTTTTTTTTTTTTTTTTTTTTACGGTGTTAGTTTGCAGGCTCTGTAAAAATGGATGTCCACCCACGGGACAGTGGGGCTTTACAGTTCAAGTAAGGAAAATGAACACATATTTTATTCAACATTTTATAAGTTAATTTTTACAAAATAGGTTTTGGGAAGAATAGCAAAACTGGAGTGATACCGGCAGAGAAATGAGGCTCATTTATTGGTACGAAAATCAAAGAAGCAGTGCCAGTCAGTTTCAGTGCAGAGGTAGATTTCACAGGACGTGCAATGGTGCTGAGTTTTCTTTGAGGAGCCAGGGTTCCTGCACTGTGTAGCATTCTTGACGTCTTCTTTCTTTGGCACGTGAAGTGCCTGCGCCGTCTGGACTGGCGAGTTCGGCAGTGGCTTGACTCTCTTGCGCGGAACCTGTGGCACCGCACAAACTTTCTAAAATGGCATCAGCCTGACTTGTTAGTCCTGAAAATCGAGCACAATCAATCAAACCAATTGTTTTCACTTCGCGAGTGTTTCAGATTGGTGCGAGCAAAACATGATCATCGCGAAATTCGTGTCATAAGTTTTGGGTCCCAGCGTCCACCCACGTAGACAGTTTGACAAGGGACTACTATAACCCTTGCTAATACTGTTGAAAATATTAAGCATTAGTGACCATCTGTGAACTTTCAAGAACTCTAGAAATATAAATTAACACAGCCTCCGTTTGTGTAAATCACATAAACTGATTACATACCTTGGCGTCGCCCGTAGAACATGCGAGTGCTGCAGGTCGCCATTTTTAACAGCAAGCAACAAGTTTTCAGTGCTGTTTGCTCAACACTCCTCCAGATGGCAGCACAGACTACGTCCATGACGGTGGACAGGCGTCCTTTTCTGTGTGCAACGAAGTTTTTTTTTTTTTTTCTTCTTCTTACAATTCAAAACCCAATGTTTACACTGGTGGACGCAGGGTCTCAGGAGGTTATACAGGGTGTTTCACGAAAGGTGGACAAATTCAATACTGCAAAAACTGCTCGAAGGCTTGTGTCGTTTTGGCCCTGGGCTCGAGGCCTATTTAGGAAAACTTTTGAAGTCCGGGATAATTAGATTGTTAATTATTTTTGAGTAACTGACTTTTTAGTATTGTGTTTTAGGTTATGGTTTCAATTAGAAAATTGCTCAGCATCATTGAAAAACACTAGATCAACATATTACACAACAATAGAAGGCACGTGCAGCATCTTACGACTTTCTGAAAAACCTCACAAATGGGATAGGTTTTTAAGTTTCGGTTTGCTATTGGAGCGCATCTCGACCTCGACGGCACCATGCCCCGTGGAGAAATGGTGCAACCAGCCTCTGCTGCGTTGCGCAAGGACATCGCAGCAGAGGTTGCTTGCGCCATTTCTCCATGGGGCGCGGTGCAATCGGGGCCGAGATGTGCTCCAATTGCAAAACGAAACTTAAAAACCCGTCGAATTTGTACTGTTTTTCAGAAAGCCGTAAAATGCTGTGCACGCCTTCTGTTGTTGTGCAATATGTTGATCTAGTGTTTTTCAATGATGCTGAGCAATTTTCTAATTAAAACCATAACCTAAAACACAATATTAAAAAGTTAGTTACTCAAAAATAATTAACAATCTAATTATCCCGGACTTTAATCATTTTCCTAACTAGGCTCCTCGTCCAAGACCAGAATGACACAAGCCTTTTTTTTGTTGCGACCCATAGTTTTCGCAATATCGAATTTGTCCACTTTTCGTGAAACACCCTCTATGTGGATATTGCACTTTTCGCGACAGTATTATCAGGTTAATTTTTATTTTGCTTACAGAACAAATGATAGAATGTTTTATGGAGGCATGTTTTCTTTTTCTGTCTTTAAATGTATAACTTATGCCGACCTCCTGTAGGTGAGGTATAATTTATCTGTACGGGGGTTCCTCATTCCTAGTCACTTTCCAAAACTTTATAATTTTCTTTGTACTTGAGATTTCTGTGATATTTTTCATTACATGTTGGCAGATAGCATTGTTTATGTCAAGGAATGGCATACATTGTATTTTTTTTTTCGTTTGTCTTTTAGGGCACAATAAATGTTCAATTTTACACATTCTAATTGATGTCATAATAAGCTTCACTTACTGAAATACTGCTGTGGTTCAGTCAAGGGCTAGACCGCCATGCTTCCAATTAGTAAATAGATATGCTTAAGGAGATGAGTGAAGCGTGTTTCCTGCAATCCTCTGAGACAAAACTTGGCACTTGATCTCCAAACAGGAAAGCTCCACATGCTTCATTTGTAAAAGCCCATTATGTTTATAACTATGGTTTAGCCGTGCAGTACGATGCTTGGGGCCACTGCTTGCTCACTTGAAGTTCGAGAAAGGGCGGCACCGGAAGCACTACCAGTTGCCCTCAGGCTTATGATGTGGCTTGCAAGTAGCTCTTTTGTATTACTTCATGAAGTGAGTTGCGTTCAATGTGACTCGTTCTTTCTTTATCATGTGCCTTGTATGTGATTTGGCAATACCCCCCCAGGTGAAAAAAAGTAAATGTGTTTAGTAAACATGATAAGCTGAGAATCATGATAAGAATATCCAATACTTTATATGATTTTCGTACAATTTAGAATTTCTGATATGTGTATTGGACACATGCCTATAAAATTTTTACTAGGGCCTATGCTTCATTTCAGCTTTCGTCCGAGTGCGGCAGACGCTACCGGCCAATCCAGCATCGGCAGAGTGTCATGTGAGCTTGAACTCCACATAACCAAAACGTTGCATGATACTCTCCCGGCACTGGATTGGCTGGGGTGGCCCAGCATCCACTGGGCCACCCCAGGGGGCGCCCATTTTACGGCAAGCACCCTCTACCAGGGGTGTTTGGCAAGCACCCATTATGAAGGGTGTTTGCCTGAACACCCTAAGGGTGTTAGCCCTGGGACAAACTGGTGTACACCCTTAAGGGTGTAAAAAATTTTAGTGTGTAGAAATGCTGGCGAAAAGCACGAGCGAACGTGAGTGTCGCTGTCGTCATGGCGTCCCAACTTCCGGCTGCTTTAACTTCCGTGGACTGTCACAGTGGACAGCGACCTACAGCAGAACAGGCGTTTGCCATACATACCACAACTATTGAGACGCCGCCAGGATCGGGATCGGCGACAGCATGACACTTCTATGACGTCATCAGGCGGAAATCGAGGGACCACTTTTTTGGAGGGGGTAAGCACACCAGTCGGAGACGCGTTCCAGGCACCATATTTGAACGAAGCCGACGCGGCAACGTTTACATGAATGCGCACCGAGTATATTTTGATGGGTCAATGTTATAACTTTGTGATTTACTAGATTTTGATATATGTATATTTTTTATATCTTGTATTACTGCGCAGCAGTTTTTCCACCATTGTTTTCTTGTTTTATGTGCAACCATTGTTTTTTGTAGCGTTATTTATGTTTACCGCCCACCCTGCTTGGACCTCGACAGGTCCGCAGTATGTACTAAATAAATGAATAAATACACGAAGGTGGCGCACGCCGTGTCAAAGCTCGAAGTTATGCAGTTCCGGCACCAGCCGCACTACGTTTTTCGGTCCATCGCACTGGAGGCTTTTGGACGCGTTCAGTGAACGTAAAGATCGTGCCCGCTGTCTTCGGTGCTGTGGAAAAGGTTACGAGATGGAAGAGACATCAAAACCCAAGCGTTTCGGGCTCGAGGCCGGGCCACCGGGTCACTCAGGACCAAAGGCGACGTGTGTGCGCTCGCCTTGAGGAAGCTTCCGCAGCCTCCGCGCTTCGCCGCGCCAGACCTCGCCGCGACCGGACCAACCGGACCCCGAGTCCGAAAGGCTCCTGCGCAGCCAGGAACGGCACCGAGGTAGGAGCTGCTCGTTCTGCGCTACCATGCAGTGCTCTAAAGTGCTCGGAGCTCTCGGTGTCGTTCGTGCTTGCGCCGAAGCCTTTGGGACCCCTTCGGACGCACAAGTCGTACTTCGCAAGGCTTGGACGGGGGCCGCCCTCATCGAGCAGATCCGCTATATTCCGCTTACTTATGATCGCAATAAAAGCTCGTGTTTGTTCTCAGAAAAAAATTGCGGGCGACCATACGGAACCGCTCTCCGCGCAGCCGACGAGGTTGGCCGCCACCATGTTTTCAGCTGTTCACTAGCTCCCGCAGCGAGCGCCTTCCCATAATCTTCCCCGTTTCAAAATGCGATGCGACCTCTGCGAGCGCTAACGTCACCGCGCTCTCGAGTCGCGCGCTCTAACGACGCGGCGCTCTAGTGTCGCGCGCGCTAACGTCGTGGCGCTCTACTGTCGGCGCTCTAATGTGGGCGCTCAAGTGTCGTGCGCTCTAGTGTTGTACAGCCGAAAACACTCAACCGCGGCGGTAAGTTCACGTGGTTTGCGACAACTCGTACCGCGGATGACGTCGCTCTGGGGTCCTCCGGCGGTGGAGCAGGGATCGGTGGCCGAGTGGTCTAAAGCGCACACCCAGCTCGACGCGCGTGGAGCGAAAGCTCGCGCTGCCGAACCCAGAAATCCTGGGTTTGAGCCCTACCCCTGCCCGTTTCGATCTGGATGAGCATCGTACCGGCGTGCGGTCGTGTATCACTACTGCGTGGTGCACGTTAAAGACCCCAGGCTAGCAGTTGTACTGCAGTGGCTAAATTGCTCATCTACAGCGTGTGACTCGTCGCAACTTTAATGGCTGACCAACTACACGCTGTATAAATATCCCCATAACCCAACTTCTCAGATGCCAGAACAACAAGCGCGAGGCTTCGGGTGCACCACAGGTGCTTTTGTGCGCGTTCTACTCAGCGCCGGTACCACGGTGTTACACATGCCTGGAGGCTGGTTCACACATTTGCAACGGTTCCGTTCGCATGCAACCGAAACGACTGTAACAACAAAGTCACCGGGACAAGTGTTCGCCGTACACATCATGGCAAGCGATGCAAGAGGTAGCTTCGCGAAGCCATCCATGAGTCACGGTTTTTACGGTGTTTTGGTCGTTACTGTCGTTTCGGTTGCATGCGAACGCAACCGGCGCAAATGTGTGAACCAGCCTCGACTCGATCCAAATGAAATAGCTGCCATGAAAGTGATTCCACCATTTCGGATTCCGCCACGTATGCGAGCCATTCCGCTACTATGTTTGTCGGAATGGTTCGACTATATTTC